ATATATATGTGTATGTATATATACATATATAGCCTATATATATATATATATATATATATATATATATATAAGTTATATATGTATATATATATATACATATAGGTAAGATTTTTTAGAGATGATAGTGGAATTATTTCAGGGCACCTAGCGGTCCATATTCTCACAATTCAATGGGGCTTAGGTGTTGTGGACTCACGCACCCCCTACCGCCAAATCCTGCATCCGCCTAAGCGCCATAATGGAGCAATCGTTAAGCTAGGTCCCCACATTGATTCAATTTATTATTGTTGAAAGCACGCTATATACACTGATGTCTTCTCATATCCTTCCACCTTCCATATTTAATACCAGGTTATGTTGGTGGAGGCTGGTATAACCATAAAGGTGCTGGAACAAACTCATTATGTTTACCAGAAACACCTGAATATGATAAAGATTTGATAACTAACGCAGTTGATTGGCGGTCTTTGATATACGGTGCTGAATTTGGCGGAAACTTACAAAACTATGACCTCGTGTGTGCGGTGTGCCTTGTGCGTGGCAGATCAACCACTTTGATGATTCCTGCTAAACTCACCTGTCCTTCAGGCTGGACCAAAGAATATGGCGGTTTATTGATGGGAAGTTACAAGAATTATAATGCTCATGATTATATTTGCGTTGATAAAAATACTCAGGGGCGACCTGGTTCTGCTGCGGACAAGAACGGTGCGATATTTCAACCTACTCAAGGAAAATGCGGCTCGCTCCCTTGCCCACCGTACGTTGATGGGAATGAGTTAGCGTGCGTTGTATGTTCCCGTTAATAATTTATGGCGTAGGTAGGCTATTATGTTTTTTCGGCAGCCTTTATGATGTTCTGCCAAAAATTTATATGCTCTATATATTATGCCTAACAGATGATTTTTAAATTTATTTTAAACTTTTCGGAATAATTAATGTTTTTTGCACTTCCCGAAGATACTTAAATTCGTTTGCCGATGTTCTTACACTTCTTCATTTTACTAAGGTCTCCTGCTCATGGTAATTTAAAAGTACCGTACACAGCAAAAGTAATCATTGGCACTTGAAGATAACTAATAAAATATATACATTGGTATTTTTCATTTGAAAAAGGAAATGTTGTAGGCCTATGTGGGTGGCATAGATATTGGTGTAAGGAGATGAGTTTAGAATGAAATTTTGTGTCTAAATAAAGTTTGCATTTTTAAAAAGTATTGTCTTTCATTGCACATTCTTCCTGGATCTCTTCACAAAGAGTACATATTTCGGATAGTGCCTTTCTAAATACGTTATTAGTTTTAATTTTAATTGTCTTAGTCATCCTGGCACTGCAAACATGTTTGAAATATAATTTAATAAAAATCAAAATATATCACAATAATTTTCTTTGGGCGAAGCCTTTCAATCCGTCTCTGGATACCACGGACCGAGAGCCCAACACAAAGATGAGAACTTATTATCGAGACATATACATACCGTATTTATTCGAGTAAACGCCCCTGGCATTTATAGTTTACAAAGATTTTTGAGAGGGTGTTTATTCGAGGGATGCGTTTATTATTATATTTTTTTTGTTAAAATTAATAAGAATATACTTAAGTAAACGCTCCTTCATTTCACTGTAAACTCAACACATAATTACTATCAACATGTGTTATTGCGTGATCGTAAAGACTTACTGACTCTAAACAGATTAGAGTACAAAATTATGTGTCCTCCTTCAGATTAGTTTACAAACATGTGGGTCGTGGTGGTGGGTGTGTGTGTGTGTGTGTGTGGTGGTGGGTGTGTGTGTGTGCGGGGGGGGGGAGTTATTTAAGAGAAAAAAATTAATTAAACTCGGCGGCGTTTATTCCAAATGAGGCTCTAAATGGGGCGTTTATTCGAGGAGGCGTGTATTCAAAGCGGTTTATTCGAATATATACAGAATTCACTATAATATTTGGCTTGCGACATTCAGTGGCGTATTTAGGGGTAGCACATGCCCCCAAAAAAGATTGCTCTCCCAGTAGCCTCTTCTTTCTGAATATTTGAAGCATAGAAACCTGGAATCACCATATTTTGCCAAGTAGCGCCCCTCACTAAATTATTGAACCCTCCCAGTTCAGGATTCCCCACCACTACCTTCAGCCCTTCCCCATTATAATATTCATAAGACACGTCGGTGGTGACATTCTTCTTTATTATACACGATTACAAAATAAGTAATAAAAAGTTGAAATATGGATTATTGTTTAGATGGCAAATGAAATTATGCATAGCACTTAGCGATTTAAAACGATTTTAGTGTCGTAGGCTGTGATTTGAACACAGACACACTAGTACAACGATATGGCTGCTGATCTCTATGTTTTTATTCTTCAACCCAACTTGAATTCCAACACAATCGAATCACGAGTCTCAAGTAAAACATATGAAACAAAAGAAAAACCCCTGCAATAAACAAACAACTCATTGCAGTCATGTAATTTACTTAGTCATGTAAAATCACAGCATCAAATAATATTAATAATATCACTATTAATATCACATTAATAATATCATCATAACAACAGTGGTATATAGGCTGCTTTTGAATCTAATCATCAGGCATAATACTCCAAACATATGCTACTGTCTGTTATTCATAGCATTCAAACCACCAACAAATAATATAATTTCAATGTAAATATAAAAAAATAGCTATTATCAAGTATAACTTGGCTATCCTGACTTACCCAACAGAGGTATGACAGACTACAATACTTCACGTTCTCCTTGACCTTACAATAGAGTACCAGACTTTAACAGTTTCTCTTCACCTCATAGGACTTACAGAAATCTTTGATAAAATATACATAACGTCTTTAACAACTCACCTAAATACACATTCTAATATAATCACGCTATATTCCTATGCGACACAATAATTAACTATAAGCTTAGACCAACTCATTAATCGTTACACACTAGCTCCATGGGCGCAGCCATCTTATTCACTTTGTTTACATATAGCGCCACCATCGGCCGCTCATCGACTCTACTTTCTTAAAGGATAACTGCGAGAGCAACCATGTTCTACAACACCGGACACCCCGTATTCTAAACTTAAACATAATTTATCTTTGTTCTAATAAGTTGCATAATGGATAAAACAACATCGTAACTGATTAACAATAATTTTAACAATATAATATGATAAACCTTCAATTTCTACGCAGTAGCCATAAACAATGAAATCATATTATACTTTGAAAGAGTCTCAGCTTGCCTACGACGGCCTAGCTGCACCCTAACGCAAGGTGACCTACATTATGATGACAGTTCAACACGAAGTTAGGCTTCGGATGAGGGATGCCATCAAAACAAAACGTCCCTAAATACACATAACCTCATCTAGCCTAACAATATT